CCCGAGAGTTCTCGAAAAATATATACATGTTGGCGAAAAGAAGGGGCAGGAACCTAGCAGATACACAGTCCAATGCAATGGGAATGAAAGAAAATGTGAAGATCGTGCGGTGCCTCACCGACCCCTCCCGTGTCGCCTCTGCGCAACGACCGGGGGAAACCCTAGCGCCGTCGCGTCCTCGTCCCTCCCCCGACCTCTCCTCCTCGCCGCCGACCGGGCTTGACCTTTCCTCCTCGCCGCCGCCGGGCAAAGCCCGGTCGGCGTCGGCGGTGGCGGGATCTCTTCTCCCACGACTCCCTGGATCTGGCGCGGGCGGATCGCGGCGGTTGTTGGCGGCGCGCTGGAGACGGGACACGCCGGCGCGGGCTTGGGGGTGACGGCAGGGCTCACGCTCGCGGTTTCCTCTGGTGTGCGTGGGAGTCCGCTCGGGGCGCGCGACGGCGGCCCTCGGCAAGCGGTGGCGGGCGCTGGGCTCTCGGCGACGCTCCGGCGTATGCAGGCAGCGGTGGTCCCTGTGCGCGGTCGGCGGCTCCGTCTTTGATCCGGACGGCGCGGGGGATAGCGACGGCCCGGCGTGGCCGGCGATCTGGATGTGGTGGTGTCGGCGGCTCGTTGATCTACCGGTGCTCCAGGGTTCTGCCTGGTGGTGCTGGTGATGACAGCGGCCCGCGCACGAGAGTTGGATCCCTTCGAACTGATCTGGGTGAAAACTTGTCTTCGGCGTCTGCTAACGCCGGCGGTGGCGGCGCTATCTGCGTCGTTCCCTTCTTGAAGGCATCGCCGTGAAGAAGTTCAATGCCACTCTCTGCTACCTTCGGGAGAAACCCTAGATCGGATGGTCGGATGACGGCGACGCTCTGGTGTCGTTCCTCCCTTGAGGACGTCATTCTTGGAGATACACACATGATCGAGGGACCAGAGGACGGATTCTTTGGTGAAGCGGTGATTCATCCTACACACTGATGGCGACGGATATTGACGGCATGGCGCAGTGCAGATTCGGAGTTTGCTGTGGGAGGATGGACTCGCGCAGGGGACGACGATGTCGGGCGTCGTGGTGGCGTCGATGACAGAGAGACCTGGCACGGTACATGTAACAGTACAGCTTTGAAGATGGATTGATGGCAGGTGGCTGCGGCGGCCTCATACCCAGCAGGCGTCCTGGTTGAGAAGTGCGCCGGACTGGTAGATGCCCCATACTCGGCAGGCGTCTTGATTGGGACCTCAGGTCTTAGATGTTTAAGTTTGGTCACGATATCTGTTTGGTATTAGACCCAGACTATCTGCGCCCCTTCATCAATTAGATAAGTGTAGCAACAGTTGTTGCTTAGACGGTAGATTTAATCTTGTTGTTGTTTGGCTTTGTAAAATCGTGTAAAAATAATTAATAAAGTGATCGTATGCATCGGCTGGATGCAAAGGCTGAGAGTCATCTTCCTTTTCTTAAAAAAAAAAGGTCGTCGATCGTCCCCGGCGCGAGTGCTCGCCCGATCGGTGCTCGTCTTGTTATGGTCCCCCTTCTACGGTCTCGGCTATGGCCTGTCCGATAGAGCTGGACCGGTGGCATCTTTCCTCGGCTATGTTACACCTTGGCTTGTGCCTGTGGGATTGATCTTGAGCTTGACGACAGACGTCCCCTTGCGGTGCTTGTACCTCAGTTCACGCTGTCATGGATGTCGACTTAGGTTGTGTTATATAATTGACTGCGGGTCAAGCTCTGCTAGTGGCCGTTTCTCGCTTTTACGCCTAGATGCATCCGTTTGAATGACAATTAATACTGTTTAAAAATTCATCTGATTAATCAGTTAGTACAGCCAGTTAATCGTTACTTGTAGGGTGGCAGACTTGAATAACACCTATTCGTCACGTTAACTTATCAGACCAATTAATCCTGGCTGGCCCGTCAACTTGTCAGGCCGATTAATCTTTACTGGCTCGTAACTTATGGGCAAACAAAGCCTGATTATTTGGCTCGTAACCCCTCCCAGCCTCCTCCCTCTCCTAAATAGCTAAAGTTTGGCCCTCCTTCCGCTCCTCTCATCTCCTCCTGTCCTAGATGGCATGGCCAGGTCCGCTTTGGAGCGTTGTCGCTTCCCCTCCTCTCTCTGTGCGCTGCTGCTTCCCCTTCGCCTTTCCGGCCTGCCACGCATGTTGCATGTTGCATAATACAATGAAAATTCTCATGCATGTTGCATGTCGAGAGAAATATGTTAATGAGGCTAATTATTTAGATATAGAAGATATGCTTGATTTGATTTTCTTTTATGAAGATGCTATATAGGACAGAGAAATAGCTCTGTGCATGTATGGCTCTACTCTTGTTTATTCTTTTATGAAAGAGAGATATGTACAGTAGAAGTTAGGGATTCCATACATTTCTAGCAAAAAACAAAATGGATTTCATACTTTTTTTGGTAATAGTTTTTTTTTGAGAAATCTGGCCGTCTTTATTCATCCAAAACCACTGTCATAGGTACAAGGTTTGGGTCATACATGCACAGAGTTACTCTCTCCGTTTTTATTTACTCTGCATATTAGAGTTGACTGAAGTCAAACTTCATAAAGTTTGACCAAGTTTATAGAAACAATAGACATTTATCATAATAAATCTATACGATGTGAAAGTACATTTAATAATAAATCTAATGTTGTTGATTTGTTATTGTATATCTTAATATTTTTGTATATAAACTTGGTCAAAGTTTGTAAAGCTTGATTTTGACCAAAGCTAATATATGAACTAAATAAAAACGGAGGGAGTATTTCTCAGTCCTACAAGGTTTGGGTCATACATGCGCCAAGCGAACAAATGTCGCCCTTCGCTGTTTAGGCCCGGTTCGGTTATACCCTTCATGGGCTGAGAGCTACTAACTTTTGTTTTATTATGCTTAGCTATGGGCTGCGTGCCCGTTGTGCAACTTGGGCCGGTAGGTTTCTCCATCTTTGCCCGTTTTTCCTGTCAGAGGATTGATCTTTTGCCCCACATTTCGTTGCAATTGGATCATTTGTCACCCCTAAAAAGGGAACCTAGATCATTTGCAATTTTCCATTTCTTGCCATATCAAGATAATCTGGCATGACGCGGACACCAATTGCCCTTATCTACCCCGTTTACCTCGGACGCCCTCAAGAATGGCATTGGTGGCATTGCTCGCTTGGCGCACGACGGTGGTAACACGAGCCGGGCGTTTCCCCGATGCAAGGTATTTTCATCGTTGTGTGCAGGCTCAGGCAGTCATATGGAAAAACATATACGAGCAAGAAAAGCTCGGAAAAGAACCGGTTAGGAGAAATGAGAATTAATTCATCAAAGTCCTGGAAAAAACTAGCAAAATAATGATTAACACGGATGAGAAGGCAAACCTCTCAAGGTAAAAACACTGAAAAAGTAAGCATGAATGACACTCGGGGCAAATGTGTAAATCAGTGTAGTTAGGAGTGTTGAACATGAATTTTCAGCTAAACCGAGTGACATTGCAGCTAGTAGCCACATTACTAAGGCCTTCCACAATGTATACCCGCACCGGTGCCAAATGCACTTTCCAACCATTTGGCGTTTGTGCTCTACATTGCGCTCCAATACGAAGCTGATGCCAGAACTTTTTCTTTGGTCGTCGGTGGTGATGTGGCACCTTTTTGGCCAATTTGACATTGGCAGCACCGTTGAAGGCCTAACAACTTGGTAATGCGGCACCTTTTTGGCCAATTTGGCACCGGTAGCACCGTTGAAGGCGTAGCAACTTCTTTCATACGGAACCTAGTTTGTCATCTTGGGCGACGACACGCTTTACTAGGACAACTCTATCAGAGTCGCCATATCAACCTGATTGGCGTGTCAACTTTCCTATGGAACCCGGCTTGTACCATCTTGGGCGATGACACGCTTTGGTGAGTCACGCACACACGCACACGCACACGCACACGCGAGTCCGCCAGGCCAGAAGTTGCCTTCCTCAACGGACGGTGGTGACTTGACTTGTCTTTGAGGGTGATGTTTCCCACTGAAAGGTACTGTAGTTTTCGGTTGGTATTTTTCTCCCCAGCTTAAAACTTCCAGCAATGGCACTCGTCGCCAAAAGAAGAAGTTCCAGCACGACACGGTTCCTAGCTAGCTAGCACCCAATGGCCTCCAATGAGTAGGCAACAGGCCTGTGAGTTGTCAAAGTGCTGGTGGTGCATGTCCTGTTCTGTTCTGAAAGTTCATCTCCAGCCGAGAGATACGTCAATCTGAACCCAAGACCCATGCGAAAAATACCGCTGAAGCAAATCCAAATCCCTCCCAAAGTTGTACTCCCTCTCTAAAGAAAAAGAATAGTGATCCAAACGCTCTTATATTTCTTTGCAGAGAGGATACTAAATCAGAGACAGTTATTTTGAGACGGATGGAATAGCATACATGATGTGAAAGTATGTATAAACCAACCACTCTTCTTTCATCTCACACAGCATCAAAAACCGGGCAAGAGACATACATATATAAATAAGCTTGTCCCTACTCTCCACATGTCACAATCTGCAATCATATTCATACAAGAGGAATACCTGGTCCTGGTGAGATAGTAACAGCTGCATTGTCTGTTAGCATGAAGGTATCAGCAACACTAGAAGCAGCAGAATAAGGGACGCGAAGCGAGCGATGGATGGATGAAGAAACATCAGTTACAAGGTACAAATAGCGGTTACATTCGACGGCCTGAACAGGCGCGCTCCTTCAAACCCGTTCAGGAGGCACCGCCACAATGCGGTTTCCGAAAATCGCAATTAACATGCATAGAGAGTATTTGAGTGACTAAGGGGGAGCTAACAAGTTCAATGACGGAAAAGAAAAAAGGAAAGAGAAAAACTTGGGGAGGAGGCTCCAGAAAAGAGCATACAATCTACAACAAATGAGAGTACCTTCCCAGGCCAAGAGGGGGAGCTCTACACTTTCTCTTTCTGTGGCGCCTCAGCTCAAATGCGCTGTTGTTCCGGAGGATCCATAATGCACCACCAAAGATAGGCTAGAAGAACTCAAACTCTAGATAGTTGTCCGAGCCCTTCTGGTTGGAGGCCGGCGCGACCTTCCCGTTCGCCGACGGGGCCTGCTTCGGGCGGCAGTCCAGCTCCACAGGCTTGGGTATGTCCGGAGGGCTCGCGCATCTTATAAGGGCCCAGTTCACGCCCTCGAAGAAGGGGTGCTGCTTTATCTCCGTGGCCCCACGCTTGTGGCCCAGCCGGTGCTGCGGGTCCTTGACCAGTAGTCCCCTTATCATGTCCCTTGCCGAGAAGCTCACTAGCGGGGACTCTGGGAACCGCAGGGGCTGACCGACGACGTTGAAAAGCGTCGCCCGGTTGCCTGAACCCTTGAAAGGGGTCTTGCCGAACAGTAGCTCATACAAGAATATGCCGAAGGTCCACCAATCCACCGCGCTGCCATGGCCTTCCCCTTTCACTATCTCTGGGGCCAGGTACTCGTGGGTGCCCACAAAGGACATGGACCGAGCATCAGTTGGCTCGGCGATCATCTCAGGGAATAGGTTAACCTGGTTCACGATGTCCGGCTTTGGCTTCTCCTTCTTAGACTTTGACTTGGACTTGGATTTCGAGAAGAATCGAGGACCAAAGCATGTGGTTGGAACAACACAGGATGGCTGAATGCAAGCAGGCTGGACGCAGTACGCTGCATTATTCCTCTGCAGCGCATCTAAGCCAGGATTTGCACCCCTGATCACGGTTGGGCTCACTGAACAACGAAGAGATAGGTCAAAATCAGTCAGCATGATGTGCCCATCCTCCCGGACTAGAACATTTTCTGGCTTGAGATCACGGTATATAATCCCAAGCATATGCAGGTACTCCAATGCAAGGAGCACCTCTGCTACATAGAACCTGAAACATCAAAGAGAGAAAGCAAAAAAATTAAGTTAAATCCTTCGTCAGCATTCTCAACAGCTTTGCCAGGCAAATCAAAATCTCCCCAAAAAACATACGCCTATCAGAACGCATGAAACCCAACAATGATCCACTTGTTTTAATCATAGCAATGCATAACTGTACGCTATCAGCATGGGACACATCAGTTTCTACGACATACTGCACCTTCCTGATTCCAGTGTGCATAATAAACATGCTATAAATTAGAATGTAAAAAAACTACAGTATGTCATATATGCAACCTAACTATGGCAATATGAAGTTATGAGGCCCAAAAATAATGAAATGCAGACGAGACACATCATAAAATACCTAACAAAGAATGTTATAAACAAAGCATTCATGTCAACGCATAATTAGCAAGAGGAAGTGCATACTTTGCTGCTTGCTCTGAAAAATGTTTTCCAGGCTGCCTTTGTCGAAGGGTGTGCAAGTCCCCTCCAGGGCAGAACTCCATAACCAGACACGAAAACTTGTCCGTCTCAAAATGAGTATATAGGGTCGGCAGAAATGGATGATCCAGGGACTGCAGTATCTCCCGCTCGGTCTGTGCCCGGAGCAGCTTCTTCCGACTAGCCAGAGATGTTTTATCCATCACCTTCATTGCAAAGTGACTCTTGGTACCACTCAATTCAGAGAGATACACACTTCCGATATCACCAGAACCCAGCTTCTTAAGCAACCTAAATTGGTTCAGACCAAGAACGCCCTCCCTGGATTTGACCACTTGGATGGCCTCCCACCTCGAATCATTCCCTTTGTGCGGCTTTGTGGTGGCACTGCTCATACTGCTGCAGGAGCTCTCATCACTCAAGTCACTGCTTGCACTCACACGGCACATGCTGCTCTTGCCACTCTCGGTGAAATCTCGACCACTGGTCTTAGCACTACCACTGGTCTTACCCAGACTATTTGTCCCATCACTCACTTTAGCTGAAATAAAGCTATCACTGATACTACTCTTTTGCGACGACTTCTTTTCTTGATTCTCGTTGGAATCGGAGTTCTTGGTCTCTTTTGACTCATCAGATTCTGCCTCTGGGGCTAGTGGCACGTCCAGGACCCCAGAGTCCGGAGAGAGATCTGGAGCATCCTTGTCCAGCACAGGAGCTGGAGATTCTTGCTGCTGGTCCGGCTCCCCCGAAACCTCCTCAGCAGCAGATCGCTGCCTGTCATCTTCGCCCATTTCCTTTGGCTTTGCCGCTTGCTCCGGCATACTTTGGGAGGCAGGCTTGGAAGACATGAACTGAGCAAGCGGTTGACCAGAAACACAACAAACGCGCCAGTCTAGGCGCCCGGTCAGTGCTCAGTACAAGGCTGACCGAGCAATTACCAACCTCCTAACCTGCAAATCAATTTGAGCAGACAGCTTATCAGCATACCAATAAAATAACTAGGGTTTGTTCGTATCAATTCACCAGAACAGAACAAGGATCAGAAATATTCCAGGAAATCCAAACCACCAGGTAAAATCGACAGAAACAACAAGGTAGACCGGACAAGCCGGGCAGAAAAGAAAGAAATCCCTACACACCACACCAAGAGAAAGGGGGGGAATCATTTTGAGAACCCCCCATGAGACCAAGAAGTCACCTGCAGACTCACACACAAGCCACTACAACTAAGCGCTGGGCAGATCCATCCACCCGGCCGCCCCTGCCACTCCGCCGCATCCCAAAAGAGGAGAAGAGAGGAGGTGAAGGGAGGAGAGAGGTCCTGGCTAGAAAGAAGAAATCACAAGCCCCCCACCCCACCCCCAGGAAACCCCGAGCCAGCAGCATCTCCCACAAAAATAGGGCGGAGTGGGCCAGAACCGCGGGGATTAATAACAAAAGGGAATCTTTAAGATATCCCCAAAGCGGCGAGGGGAAGGGGAAAGGGGGAGGAAGGAAGGAGGGAGCATTGCAACCTGGCACAGCTGCGAGCTCGTCACAAGGCGCACACATCCCACCTTTCCCCTCCCTTCCCCCAAAGGGAGAAGCAGGCATGATGGAGCGCGCCATGGATCATATGAGCCACAGCGCGGCAAGCACACATGCGGTGTCGCGCATACGTAGAGACAGACTAGCATGGCATCCACATCAGGGCATGGGGGGCACTCACTCCAGCGCCCCATTGAATGCAAGCAAGCAAGCAGGCAAGCAACGGAAAGAAGAGAAAAAATGGTTTTTTAATGAATAAAAGGGGCGGGATTGGATCTGGAGAGTGATGGGCGGCGGCGGTAAAGCCGCGGAGGCAGCAGATCAAGAAGGAGCACCCGCATATCCCCACCTCCACCTGAGGAAAATGACGCCGCCCCTAAATCCCTAGGCGGCCGTCCAATCAATCAAGCAAGCAGGCCGTGGCCCGGCCGGGGAGCCGCCATACCTTTGCGTGAGGTCGCTAGGAGGAGCGCGGGGCGGCCGTGGCGGCGGGTCGGGGGAGCGGAGACGCGGCGGCGACGGGATGTTCGTCGTCTCCGCGCGGAAGGCGGGCCATGTGCGGGCGGGGCGGGCAATGGCGGAGGGAAGTGGAGGGAGGTGGGGGCGGGCGGAGTGGCGAGAGTACTAATTGGTGTGGGGATTCATCCGGGCAAGGGGAGGAGAGCTGCTGGCGCTGGCTCAGTGGCCCAGCCTGCAAAGAGACAAGCGCTTGTGGGGGAGAAGGGGAGGGATGGAGGGACGGGTCAAAGATGATGGTGGTGGTGGTGAAAAGCTGGGCTTTTGGGGCGCATAAACTAGTCTACAGAGCGGTTGATGATGATGGTGGTGAGTAAATTAAACCCGGGTTAGGGTTAGGGTGGGTAGCCAGCCGAGGGTACGGCGTGCAGGGCCTGGTCTCCCTCCTCTCGCTCCCTCTTTTTCCCACGGACCGAGGCTCCCGTGCCCAACGTCCACTTTCCTCCTCCTTCCCCTGCCCTGCTTGCGGGCGCTTCCTGTTGCAGAGATCTGGATGGCGATGGTGGTGCTGGAGGCCCATCCTGGCCGTCCGTTCTTCTCATCTAGGGTTTCATGGGGGAAGTGTGTGTGCATGTTGTGCATGAGTTTGTTTTGGAAATCAAAGGCATTGATCTAAAAGTTTGTGTTATAGAGACAAGCTCCTTCGATCAATTCGATACGGTCTATCCATCTCGGGAGAGGGTTTAGGGCGCGTAAGTGCGGCGCACGCAGATTCTGTGCCGTTGATCTGCGCCAAGATTCACGTTTGGGGATGTATAGACAGGCTTCTATTTTCACTTTTATCTGTAATGTGTTCGTGTATCATGACGATATACATGTTTGTGTGGGGTCGTGTAGATAAGGAAATGACAAACACTTGTTGATAAGGAAAAATGGTTCACCAGGCCCTAGTTATGGTGCTCTTGCTGCTTTCCTCTTTGTTCTTCTCTCATGTGCATCAAAATAGAATATGCACCTTCAAACATCATTTGAGTACGCAAAGGGAAAGAGATCATCTTGTGTCCTCGGAGATTGAAGCCATCAAGATAAGAAGCACTGCAACAGTATATTTGGTGCAAGCGGGTACATATTCGACTGCAAACTTGATTTTCTTGTTTAGTCCTTGGAGCGATCTTGTTTGTTCAAGAACGAGCTTTTAATGTGTGCTATAGCTGGTCATTCTGATATTTGATATTTGTATTTATTGCATCAGTGTTCGCGTTGGTCATTTGTTATCTTTGAAATATTGAGTATTTTTAATTTGAAATTGTATGAGCTAGAATCTTATGATGCGTCTGTAAACAATGGGAGCACATGTATGTGTATAAAATCTATTTTCACAAGTTTTTAGAGAAAAGGCATATGCCCGACTTTATGAATAAAGCCACCAGACAGAGTCAACGAGACCACACAAAAGTTTCACCAACATAAGGGACACAGTACGAAAGAGTAAACGGTGGCACGCAGGCTAGATAACAGTGGAATCTATTTTCACAAGTTACATACGCTGAAGCTAAATTCCATGAACTTTAAAATCCATATTTCTTCCTGTGAAACTTGAACATTGCGTAAATTTAATTGAGTCGTAGATCATTACTGTATATCATTCTCAGTAAAAATAGTTGTGTTGAGTGGCCGAGAATAATTTTATATTGGAAGGTCAAAACTTTTGAAAGGACAATCTTTGCAAGTCGTTAATAAAACTAACCCTAAACCCCTAAACCCCTAAACCCTAATAATCTACAAGGCACAAATAGTAATGGCATCGCAACTAATCACAAATTATAAAAGAAAACTTAAACCCTAATAGTGAACAATAAACCTAATAATCTACAGCATATACTTATTATTATCAATAAACTGTTGCTTGTTATGCCTAGCTAGGGTTTCCTTGAAGGGCATGTCATAGACACTTATGAAAAAATGAAAACTATATTTAGGCACCCCATGAATGAGAAAGTTAAATCTACATCTCTTTTGCTCTCATACCAAAATGAATCTATTAAAGAGATAAAGGCTAGCCTAGATACAAACTTTCGTGACATACTTAATCTTTTTTCTACCATTAATAGCTATGTGCTTTATCAAAATAGAAGGATTAATTCTATAGATAGCAAGTTTGCTCTTTTTTTCCTAATACCAAAGATGGCAATACCTATATCTATTCTTGCTTGTTATGCCTAGCTAGGGGCGTTAAACGATAGCGCTTGTTGGGAGGCAACCCAATTTTATTTTTATTCTTTGCTTTTTGTTCCTGTTTAGTAATAAATGATTTATCTAGCCTCTGTTTTGGTTATGTTTTTTGTGTTTAATTAGTGTTTGTGCCAAGTAGAACCATTGGGAAGACTTGGAGAAAGTCTTGTTGAACTTGCTATAAAAAACAGAAACTTTAGCGCTCACGAGAACTACTGCCATTTTTATTTGGAGAGTGATATTTAGTTAATTCTTTTTGCAGATGATTAATAGATAAATTCCTCACGTCCAGCAATTTATTTTAGAATTTTTGGGGTTCCAGATCTTGCGCTAGCTACAGATTACTACAGACTATTCTGTTTTTGACAGATTCTGTTTTTCGTGTGTTGTTTGCTTATTTTGATGAATCTATGGCTAGTGAAATAGTTTATAAATCATAGAAAAGTTGGAATACAGTAGGTATAACACCAATATAAATAAAGAATGAGTTCATTACAGTACCTTGAAGTGATCTTTTATTTTCTTTCGCTAACAAAGCTCACGAGATTTTCTACTTAAGTTTTGTGTTGTGAAGTTTTTAAGTTTTGGGTAAAGATTTGATGGATTATGGAATAAGGAGTGGCAAAAGCCTGAGCTTGGAGATGACCATGGCACCCCAAGATAATCTAAGGACACCTAAAAGCCAAATCTTGGGGATGCCCCGAAAGGCATCCCCTCTTTCGTCTACTTCTATCGGCAACTTTACTTGGAGCTATATTTTTATTTATCACATGATATGTGTTTTGCTTGGAGCATCTTGTATCATTTGAGTCTTTGCTTGTTAGTTTACCACAATCATCCTTACTTTACACACCTTTTGAGAGAGCCATACATGATTTATAATTTGTTAGAATACTCTATGTGCTTCGCTTATATCTTTTGAGTTATATAATTTTGCTCTAGTACTTCACTTATATCTTTTAGAGCACGGTGGTGGATTTGTTTTATAGAAACTATTGATCTCTCATGCTTCACTTAGATTATTTTGAGAGTCTTAAATAGCATGATAATTTGCTTAAAATCCTAATATGCTTGGTATACAAGATTAATAAAAAAAAATTATGAGTGCGTTGAATACTATGACAAGTTTGATACTTGATAATTGTTTTGAGATATGGAGATGGTGATATTAAAGTCATGCTAGTTGAGTAGTTGTGAATTTGAGAAATACTTGTGTTGAAGTTTGTGATTCCCGTAGCATGCACGTATGGTGAACCGTTATGTGATGAAGTCGGAGCATGATTTATTTTTTGATTGCCTTCCTTATGAGTGGCGGTCGAGGACGAGCGATGGTCTTTTCCTACCAATCTATTGTTGGGGAACGTAGTAATTTTAAAAAATTTCCTACGCACACGCAAGATCATGGTGATGCATAGCTACGAGAGGGGAGAGTGTTGTCTACGTATCCTCGTAGACCGTTCGCGGGAGCGTTATATCAACGCGGTTGATGTAGTCGTACGTCTTCACGTCCGACCGATCCAAGTACCGAAAGCACGACACCTCCGAGTTCTGCACACGTTTGGCTCAGTGACGTCCTCGCCTTCTCGATCCAGCAAGAGGGGCGAAGTAGTAGATGAGTTCCGGCAGCACGACGGCGCTCCTGACATGAAGGAAGAAAGAAGATGCACAGTGGCCGGAACTCGTGGAACAGGCTTCGTAACAGAACTGTGGGTGTAGGATACAGACAGGTAGACAGTCGTATTTGTACAGAATAAACACGTATATTGTTTCATATTCAGAGAATTAACAATTTTCATCAATTTTCAACCATTTTCTGTCTAAGCATGTGCACGGATCACGACGCAGATGGATGGCAGCAGGTATTTTCGCGGGTATGTGCCCCTGCGAATTTACATATCCATTCATATGGTATAACTCCTCGATAGTTCAACACATTTATCTCGACGAGATGTATCAGCACTACTTCCATCATTAAGAAGAGGAGCGGGGAAATTATTGGGGAAAACATGAATGAGAAGAATTAGGTCACACCAATGATCACAACAAAAGAGAATGTAGAAGAGAAAAGCTAGGTCGAGGATAGAACAGGGCAAGCGTCGAAAAGAAAAAAGAAGCATATTGCCATCATTTTCCATGTCCCCACGAACAAGAGGTTGCACAAGGAACACCATCACCATAGACGAAGAGCGGCAATCAACCGAGACCAACCATGATGTTTCAAGGCTATTGGCACAACCGAAGGGCAACAAGTAACCGAGTCCACACCCAGACGAAGAGCCAGACGCGACCGAGGCTACAACACAACAACGACACTGCTGGTGAAGTCGAAGGGTATCATGGAGCTAAGTCCACACTCATATTGATTCATTGTGCACACCCACCACTGAGATCGC